GAGAAATAATTGTAGGCCATACAACTATTTCTCCCGGCCCGGGAATCGAACCTGGAACCTCTGCGTGGCAGTCCGGCATGGTAACCGTTCGGCCACGGAGGCAGTTAATTGTATTGTTGTTGTTAGTTGTATTGTTTAGTTGCATTAACCCTGTGCACTTCGTATCATTTTTAATATTTTTTTTAATAAAACGGGATGTGTAGAAATTGAAAGTTTCAATCGCTAATGAATATGATTCGACTATCAGAGGGAGTATGTACCTATAAATATTCTTCTCGATCGCACATTTCAAGACGCAAATGAGTGAGAAGAGCGTCTCTTGCTGGATAAATACAACGATGTCTCTCGTGTTATTAGACCTAACATGGTAGATATAAAAATTACCTTAATAAAAAAATATAGCCCGAAAGCAAACGACTTGTACTATTACTTAAGATATTTATTGCATGTAAATGCAACCATAAGTTGGTATTAAATCTGTTGCTACACGGATCTCAGTAATCGAAACAAAATGTCGTAATTCGAAGATTCAACTAAAGTACAAATTTCGACCCACAGTTTGGTGCCTTTTTGAATAACAATGACTCGGTCGTGATTTATTTTATGCATGCCATAATGGGACTTAGCTTTCTTGTGATCCTTCTATCCGGTTACTCGTGAATTATCTAGTGAACTCGACAGACTGTATTAACTTCTCCGCCCACAAAGCCAGCAATTTGTTTCCTAAAAGTTCTCGGTATTGCGGATAAGAAACACGAGTCGAATCTTATCAAGCAGTGGTGTTAATCACACCAAAAAGATAGTTGATGAGGCTCTTCTTGTCCAAGCGTCTTTATAACCAAGTATTAAATTGTAACTAGCAAGTTAACAAATCGTAATTTAGTGTAATCGCATAGTCACAAAAAAATCGTTTAGTTATTTTACTGTCCATCGGGATATTCCGTCACCAACATTCTTAGCTTAGAACTGAATACGTTAACGAAATTCTACAATTTTGTAACTAGTATCTATTTAATCTAGTCGCAATCAGATCTAAGATATATACAGTGGTTCCTGAGACTCAAAATGGTGTCGCAGATGTGCGGTATTATAGGACCCACAAAATTAGGACTCTACCTCATAAGTAAAGTTTTATATACTCTATTATGTGACGTTGGAATAAGGCACGCCTATAGTTCCCGTTAGCATTGTGACAGTCACGGGCAGCTCTCAACAATGGCTTCTCAATGCAATGAGGCCATTGATTGTGTCGACGTATGTGAGTCTATTGGACACCGATGTTGCTGGTATCTATTATCTGTATTGACGCGGGTTTGTCTCTGCATTTTGTTTTGCTATATTCTTATCACTCGTTTGCAAGTTAACTCTTGCGCGTATAAATCAAAGTAGAAAAGATGAATATTTGTTATTACATTACCTACTATCTAATTTTAACTCGCACGGTCCAGTCTATTTTTTCTTGCATGACATGAATGTGCGTAACAAGTCTCACACATAGATTTAATATTAACATAATGCTAAATCTATGGTCTCATATCATCACGATTTTTCAGTAATCATACGCAAAAATATACTGCGGACCTAAAAGGTCAAGGACATTATTGCAGCGTTAATAGTCTACTGGTAATTTGGTACCAAAGGGACCAATAAATACTTATAATTCTTTACATAATTACTTTATAAACATAAATTACAAATTAATAAATTACATTTGTTTTTACTTATTACGGTTATATATATACACTGTTTTTTGTGGATAAGTTTCAAGGAACGATAATTGAAATTAGTACCAATCAGATTTAAATTATTTTATTAGTGAAATCGACAGCTTGTTCGTTGTCCTTAAGTAGTTATGGCCATAGGGTCACATGCATGGTTTTACTGTGATCAATTTTCATAGCAGATATTACATTCAGTACAGATTCAAACTCCAAAAGTTATAAAAAAAGACCTACGGAAACCTACTGTGTAAGGAAAGAAATACATTCCTTACACAATATTGTTGACAACTACGTACATATGTTATAAATAAATAAATAAATTGTTTATCGTATAACTTACTGTACAAAGGAATAACTAAAGACTAATTATACGAATCAATGTAAAATATAACACATATACCTGAACTAGGAGAATCCTGTATTTCAGGTAAAATGTACTAATTATATAGGTGAATATATTATTAAATTATAAACAAAGAAATAATAACTAAACAATAAAATGCAAATCATACCTATACGCTTAAATTAGACAACATTTATTTTGGCATAATTAATAAATTCTCTGTATCGTCGTAGGACATATTTTGAAGGAATTCTTGTAGAGTGTAGTTCCTTTATGTAACAAAAATGATATATGGCGAATTAGGAGTTTAATTTATTGTACAAAAATGGTCCAAGAAACACAAAAAATCTGGGAATGAACGTAAGTCAATGGAATGAACACATGCTTTGATGATACAATTTTGGGGCAGACAATATCTTTCCATCGTTAGTGTTTTCAGTACTATATGGGAGTGCAACGTGCTCTTTGACAATTGTGGACTAAATAAATTATTGCTTTACAGTTAGTACCTTACACGACTTATACAGAAGGTCAGTGGGGTAAAGGAAAGGACGGAAGATAGAAACCTTTAAAACCGGTCGTTGGGCTCTCTCAACGATTGGTAATGAAGTTTTAGCAATACCACCCCAAGATGAAATGCAATATGTAATAATTGATTGACATATGGAATAATAAACTTGCCTGATTGTTTTAAAATCAGCAAAAGCGCGTAGTTTTTTAAACACATACATTAGCTTACGGATTCGACCGCTTAGTGCTTCGATATGGTGCTTAAAAGAGAGATAATTTTCTATTATAACACCTAAATACTTTACTTTGTTAGTAATAGCAATGTCTGGACACTTACACAGGTTGTTAGTAGTCTCCTTACAATGGTGAGCATATAGTCTTATGCTAGTTATAGCAGACTTTGGTTTTCGCATATAGAACTGCATGAAATTAGTTTTTGTCCGTGTTTAGTGTTAGTAAATGTTGCTGGAGCCAGTTATTTACGACATTGAAACCTTGCTGTGCATACTCTTGGACTTCCTTATCAGAGTTAGCAGAAAAAAGCAGAGCAGTATCATCAGCATATAAGATGATCTTCCTACCTTCTACTTCTAGATTACAAAGGTCATTAATGTAGATCAGAAACAGAGTGAGGCCTAGAATACTTCCTTGGGGAATTCCAAATGCAGTACTCTTGAGATCAGATCTGAAAACGTGACCTATTTTGACATATTGGAAGCGCTTCTTCAGATAATCTGCAAGTAATTTTAGCTGTATAGCTCTTATACTTAAGGATTCAAGCTTCTGCAATAGGATGGGTATATAAACTGTATCTTCGCTTTTTAGCTTTCGCGAGGTCCAGAAATATCCCCACTGTTTTATTACCATTGTCAAATTCCCTTGCTAAAAATCCGTAAGATGATGCACAGCGTCAGATGTCGATAATTCGGATCTAAAACCGAACTGTGTTTTAGATAATAGGGAATGTTTCTACAAATACAAGTCTATTATTTATGAGTTTTTCTAATATTTTAGATATTGCTGGCAGTAACGAAATAGATCTATAATTCGTTATTTGATTGTTACCAGATTTATGTACCGGGAAAACAACAGCTTTTTTAAGCACATAGGAAATATTCCTTTTGTTATAGATAATTGTAAAATGAATGTAATCGGTGAAAGTAGGATGTGCCTGAATTGTTTTAGTATTTTGTTTGATATGTTATCATGACCAGGAGCACTATCGTCTTTTAGGCTCAAAATTATTCTTTCAACCTCACTTTCGTCCATATCTAATAGTACAAATGATCCCAGAGACTTGCTACAGGTGGATTGAGTGTTTTGTGGTGGAGAAAGCGACGAAGTTAAAATTTTTTATGCTACATTTTTACCTGCGTTAACGAAAAAATCATTTGCGAAGTTAGCAGATATCAGCTCAGATGAATGGGCTTTCAATAATCCTGAAGATGATTCATGCCGTTTCGATGTATATGTTACATTTTTTTATATATTTCCAAACTTTTGTATTGTCTGTACCAGCTTTGTCCAATTCCTTTTCATCGTAACTATTTTTAACTTTTTAAAGTTCTTCAGTTCTTTTATACGATGCTTGTAATATTAAATTACCTGTACTATATTTAACCTACATATGTAGTTTATCCCTATGTCGCATACAGCGAGGTGTAATCCAAGGCTTGATGTTCTAATTTTTATTATTTAATCGCATGACCTTTACCTTTACCTGTATTACAGGTATTTTTATGCCTATCTCAGGCACCAGTCTCTCGCAAATAAGGTTTAATATTAAACTCATTAGTCAGTAAGCATCTTTTGTTTAAACTATTCACCTTGTATGTTGAGAGAAAATAAAATAAATTATTATTATTATTACTTAATATTGATCGCATTTTTTACTAAGTAGGACATACAGAAATCCGCGTCATCAGTATTACAACCTGGGTTAAAGTCAATGTTGCATAAATCTTCTTCAAGTTTATTTATATTGATTTTAGAAATGATTTACGCTCAAGTTGAATTAATACTACATTTTTAAAAGATGATAAAAGTTGAAACGTACCGTTAAGTGAGTCAGTAAAAATTTTGGTAGGTATTTCTAAAAGAAGGGGGTCTGTACAAAACTAATATTGCTATGTGTGATCCAATTTTGATTAGGAGCCGATTGCAGTCTAATATATTGGTTCTTCTACTGAGATATTTAAATTATTCCTAGCATAAACCATTATACCGTCATGTTGGTTGTAATTTTCCTTAGATCTGGGTATATTATGGCCTGGCATGGGTGGTAAATTTCTATATTTATCTAACCAGCACTCTGTCAGAATTATGACATCACAGTTAGACCCGCATCAGTCCCTTCCTGTTATGTTACAAATTGTAGTATACTGAACTTCAATAGATATAAACGTTCTATCTGTTATTGGTTATAGCCAAGAAACAAAATGGTTCGGCGGTACGAACGAACAGTCTCAGCTCGGGTGCGCGGACACCGCCGGCGGAGCGACCTAAGTCAAAGTTCTCCGCTTTCGGCAGATTATTCAAACCTTGGAAATGGAAACGGAAAAAGAAATCAGAAAAGTTTGAAGCAGCTTCTAGAAGTGAGTATAACAAAAAAAACCACCACATAGAAAACATTTTTAAAGAATTGATCACACGCTTCGTTCTCGTTTCTCGGGAATCAGATTTAAAAAATCATGAGTGAATTGGTAGTTAAATCTAACCCATGTTACAGTTAGCACTTACTACTTGGAATTTTGGTCACTGGTTACATTATCCATATAAAGATCTTTAAACGAGCTTAACCGACCACAGTCTATGGTTAGTACAAAACCTCAATATTGTCGTTCGTGACCGAGAAGATGTAAAAACAATTTGTTTCGCTCGCATGTGCATTTTGCTTGAAACAAATTCAACAAAAACTAAAATTTCACTTTCTTAAATACTTTTACGGTGTTTTCGGCAGAGTCTTAAATTAAATCGTTCTTGTTTTGCAGCGTTAGAGAGGAAGATATCCGTCCGAGCGAATAGAGATGAGTTAGTGCAGAAAGGCATCCTTTTACCGGAGAGTCCAGTTACTCCTGTACCCGAAGGCAGTAAGTAGTCTACCATTTCATAATGCTACTTCCCTTTATCAAGATAATAACAAAACGACAGGTAATTTTAATACTTCTACAATTATTCCAAAGTATTGTTAATGAGCGTTGATAATGAGTGAATTTCAGTTTTTCTTTTTTATTAGTCGAGCAAATAAAATGTCAATATCAAAAGAGTAACTTATCGAGTACACCTCTGCAATACTATCTAGGGTACACGTCTACACGTTTTATGTTGGTGACTTATATTTTGTGTATATTTCACAGTTACACGTGTAAGTCTTGAGTAACAAAGTGGAAATATTACAGTTTCTACCGTTCTGAGATTGTTCTATAATGACTTCACATTATTGGAATAAACTAACCTTTTTTTTGTGACTTACCTTTATTAATAGCCTTATAACATTCTACTTATTAATTAAATACAACGAAAATAGCTACTTTTGTAGTAAACTACCTATACCTCAGAATTGATATAAATTGCGCGCCCTAGTAAACTTGTAAAGGGACAAAAGATAGCAAATCGTCTTGCCTGGGTGAATTTTATTGGCTGGAAAGCAATTGATCGTATAAAAACTTTAGTCTTATGCTCATGACACATCATGTACGTTTATTGATAGTTAGCACGACAATAAAGCGGAAGATGCTATTGACCTCTTATTCCACTTTATCGTTATCATAACGTGTTTCAAATTTTTTTTTTTCACATGAGGCAACTTTTCTAAATAAAAACCAAAAGTACATGCAGTTTTAACATGTTTATGTTACTCATATTATGTTACAAGGAAAGTAAGGTTTTTTGTGATGTTATTTTCCTTGCCTGAATATTATATTAACAATTACGAATTTGTTTAAGACGATGTTGATTCAGGTTACGTAGTTCGCATTAAGCATTTTATAGTTTGAAGTGTTGTTAAATAATACGGTAGAAGTGTATATAACTTGTAATATTATCTCATGGCGTTTTGTGCATGATTATCGATGGTTTGTACTACAATAAGATGCAGGATTTTTCTATTTTTTTATTTCTTTCATTTCTACCACATCTCGATAAAATAATACCCAAATCTTCCAAACTGCTTGGTTTCATCATGAGAAATGGTAAAGTTTTAAAAAATCCCAGTACGAAATTAACTGTTTACAACGCATATGTAAGAAGTACTCTAGAATATTGCAGTATTGTGTGGTCGCCACACTATGCAGTTACGGATGGAACGTATACAGAAGAGATTCTTGTGGCATCTTACAAACACATGTAGAAAGCTTAATGAACTCCCAACCTATTTAGATAAACTAGGGCATTTCAAAATGGAGAGTTTAACTGACCGCAGACGTATGTTAAACCTGGTTTTCACGTACAAAACCCTGAGAAACGAAATAGATTGCCCTCCTCTTTTACAATTATTTAAAATCCGCGTCCCAAGTCGGGTGCCTCGTCACTCGGTCGCACTACTCCATCCGCCGCCTTCTAGGACCAACCTTAAGTGTCACTCCGCTATCGCTAGATTGTCAAGAAACTTTAACGCGCTTGATCAAACAATAGATGTGTTCAACGATTCGCTCCATATTTTTAAATCTAAAATACGAATGAATCCATCTGGGCGTAACTCATAATGTTTATTTTATTCTATATATCTATTATATATCTTTACTTAAAATTAATTAGAATATTTTTTTTGTTTATATTTCATTTGTACCCTCTGTCATTGCTTAAATTTTCTTTTTGTTTTCTTTGCATGTTGTGGCACCTACAGGCAGTGCAATTAGAATTGAATGTATTTTTAAGTCTTCATTATTCCCTAGATTTATTGTATGTACCACTGGCTGTCCGTAAATAAAAAAACAAATAAAATAAATAAAGATAAAGTCGAGTCATTTTACATTATAATTATCGTGATGTGTTTTCAAATTTGCAATTCGCTTAGCAGAAGCCCTTACTACAGCGTTTTCCCTTCAAGTTTTAACCATAATGATAACAGATGAGGAGGTGTCTCCACCCGGCGAAGAGGCGCGGGGCGAACCGGGTCCTATCGGGCCAAGCGGAGACCGGGGGCTGGCGTCGATGCACGCGGCGTTGCAGGCACAGCTGGCTTCACAGTTGGCGCAGCAGCAGGCGGCTCTCGCTGCCGCCGTTGCTGCCGCAGCCGCCGCCCATCACCACCACCAGAACAATAACGTCATTGGTGAGTACATTTAAACGTTAATCATTACGGAAAGTGCCTTATTTACACATCACTGGCGTATAGCAGCGTCAAGATATAAATAGAATTAAAATTGTATAAGGAAACGTGCGCTCGATTGCAAAAAAACACGCAATTAGTATTATTATTGCTATTTATAATTACAGTGCCAGAGACCTACACCAATTGCCTGGTCACAAATTAGGAAATTGTCTGTACTATTAGTACTAGAGCAATGGAATCGACTACGACTTAAAGCACCCAAATCCTGACTAAATTTAGGAGAGTTAGTTTCACAATTGGTTCTACCGAGAAGCGACTCTAAAACCTTCTCATCCTGCTTTCACAGGCCCACATTAACATTGTCTCTTGTGGCATCGTATAAGCAAAATCAACTAATATTGTTACACGGAGTCCAGAATTTGAGTTTGTTTCGAGTAATAACAATGGAATCTGTGTGAACCTGTCTGGAATCTGTCACTAATGAAGATACATTTGTTTGAACCAGCAATGAACGTGTTAGTGAAAGAAAATGTCAATATGTAACGAAACGTAATCAATACATTAAACGTTGGAAAACTAAAGTTTACAATAAGAAACAAATTATTTTAATTTCAACGATATTATGTTCCTGTTTATATTTCTGAATCGAGCAGCTTTATGTACCTATATTATTAGATGCTTATATTTGACCATGAACGTATATGTGTGTTAACACTCATATAAAACGACTATTCACATTGACATAGAAACATATAACCTTGCTCTCTTGCTACGTTGCGGTGACAATAATATTGCAATACAGGTTGCGGGGCTAGGGACCACATTAATGGTAAAATTACATTGTAAGCTCAACATCTGGGTCTTGAATTTTTTCTCGAAATGAAATTACAAAGGGGGACTGTACTCCATTTATTTATGTACGACACTTTACAATTGTTGGTACAATTTTACAATTGCCACTTTACAATTTATTTATATTTAACCTTTTGAGTTACAAACTGTAGAGCACTGTAGCCTCGTAATCTCCTATAAAAGCATGGCGTCTTCCCGCTTCGTTCAAAATCCATCATTTTGGTTTTTATATTGCCATTACAAAACAAGAATTTATCCATACTTTTATTTCACTTTATAAATTGTGTAATTTTTTAATTCTGTTTTGGTGTGTACAATTGTTTTTTTTTATTTTCTACCCTATATTTGTTTGTGATTGAACAATAGGTGCAATGTGAAGTGTGTGTCATATTATAGCCTCTTATCGGTGTTCGACGTATTGAAACGTAATCTTTTTTAACTTGTTTTGTATTCAATATTGTGCCACGCAGGTATCCGTGTGCTATATAGAGATATGATATATAACTATGACATGACTAGTCGTGTATAGGTTTCCAATATGATTTTTATTTATTCAATAAACGTGGGATATGAGAACTGGGGTGGGATCTGGACGTACAGAGAGCAAATGGTTAACAATTAAAAACATAAAATAATAAACTTGTATAGTGCGAATAGAGTTGCGATCCGAGAATTCCTTATTACGAGAGTTAAGGTCTTATGTGAAACGCACGTTATATCGCCATAGTAATTTTTTTTATGATTTGAAATGTTTGAAATTTCGTTTTATATTTTTTCTATAAAATAAAAGTAAAATGAAATTTCAATAACTGATTTTTTTATTTTTTATTATTTGAAATTCAGTATTTACAAATCAGTATTTACAAAACAAAAAGAAAATTCTTCTGATAGTTAGGTCAATAATCTTTTTCTTCAAATTTAACTCAAAAACTATGCAACACGAAATTAAAAGAAAAATAATTTTCAAATGTGCAAGGAAAGTCCTTTCAAATAATACTCCTTTTAAACTAGTGGGCGCTCATATCTACAGATTGCTATAAAATAAAAATATTACTTTTACCTTTAGGCAATATCCGTACTATTAAGTTCTGTAAATGTGTCGTATTTTAAGTGAATACCAATAGTAGTAATGATTGCTATTTTAAGAAAAACAACCACGACCCTTGTCCATCTTTACGGACAGACAGACACCGAAGTCTCATCATAATGTTTTTTATCGTTTAGTTACGGTACTATAATCTTAGATGTCAAGCTTGACTTGCTCTTGACGTGTACCTATCAGTTGCTTAATTTCCAGTTTACACTTTACCGTAATTAGTACTCAAATAATCACTGTCGTCAAATTTTCCGCTAAAAACGCTTGTTATCTCTTATCATTTCAATAAATAATTTAATTTTTATTGTTCCGCAACTTTTGTGCGATTGGTCTTATCAGTAACATTAAACGTTCTATCTGTAGGTAGTGATCATAGTGATAGTAAACAGTATTAGTTGTAGTAGAAACATGACAGCTAATATAATTGGAAACTGATAAAACAATTGAGGCCGTCGATTTTAGTTATTGTATTAAAATTTGCAATAAAGATTCGAGTCGATCTTTTATAAAACTGGCGATATTTAATTTTATAGTTGCGATGTAACACCTTTCGATTGAATTTGTTTTACTGTAGCGGTAAACACTTCAATCGTATACCGGCACCACAGCTAGCAGTAGCTACTGCGCAGTATTACTTAATCTAAATACCGAAAAAAACAAACTTTCGAAATTCGGAATTCATTTTCAATTATTGGCGCATACTCTTTATTTACTTTGGCATAAATGATTTGTTTATTCTACTTGCCATCAGATTGCAATTTTTTCTTTCTGTAGTAAATTCGTAGTTTACTAGATGTTGTATCTGCAGCTATAAAGCTTACGCCGTCTCTTAATTGTACTTTGACGTTCTCACTATTCACATTAAGCAAATACGTAAAAATTTATTTATAGACCTTTTTACTTTTACGCAGTAACGTAATGATTTTATTTATTTATTTAAATCTATCTTAAACCCAGCGAAACAAAGTAAATAGTGAAATATGAAATAATACAATCTCAGTACAGAGTACTAAAAAAAACCGACCTCATAAGTTCGTGGAATTACATCTATTTGACAATTTTTATTGAGGTCGGTTACCAGAAAACGGATTCATCCCCTAGTTTGCCACCCTTAGAGGTGGAATATTTTCGTCAAGTTTAAATGGGACCATTGCTGAGGTACCCTCTTTCTAATAAAAAAGAATGGCCAGATCGGTTCACAAATGCCGTTAGTTGTCCGTGAGTTATCGCATAACGTACATTTTATATGTGACATGCAATATTACGTAAACCTCAAAAAAAACTAAAAAAACGGAACACATTAGTACCTAATAGTAATAATATGTCTGTAATATGAAACACATTAAATAGGCCATGTCAAAACATTCTATGATTCAACATCTGAGGACTACGCGATTACAATAGGCCTTCTAATGATAATATATAATATTTAATTATAAGATAAGATCAGGTAAGCCAACGATTAAATAAGCAGTGATGCTTAGATATCTGAATAAATCTAGTAATATTTTTTTTTCTATTTCTGTACTTTTAATATTTATAATCGTTTAGATTTTCAGTTTTGACACGTCTTAAGTAAAGCGTTCATTGACCTTAATTTACCCCGTCGTTAATGCTCTTTGCGTTTTATCTTATATGTATGACCGAGTAACTGTGCTCATTATCGTTGAGCTGTTCTTAATTAGACAGAAAAGGCTTACATTTTTCGGTTAATGATTTCCAAATGTATTTGTAACTAGTTGTGCAGTCAGTTGTGATTATGATTACAATGATAGTGTACAACGCGGTGCGATATGTGGAGTTTGATAGATGGGAGGTAATTGACGGCGTCTTGTATAATAAATTCAAAATATGTTTACTTCCGGAGTAAACGAATTTCAATTTGAATCGTCAAATTGATTAAACATCGTGAAGATGAATAAGAAACTCTAGTAGCTGCTTTTTGTAAACATATCGACACTGCAAAGATAAAACGTCTAACCTGCATTTGGATAATATTACAGAAGAGCGATTTAAAGTATTTTTTTTTAAAAAAAGGAACTCTAATTTTATTTGTATTATGGAAACTAGAAAGATTCCGCTTTTCCATATAACAAATAAAATATAGTTACGATTTTTTTCCTTTAAAAAGTTACTATAAATCGCTCTCATAACTATCTATTTTCTAAATGCACGTTAGATGTTTTAGCTTTCCAACGTCGATATGTTATTTACAGTACTTTTTAAAATTTTCATAGGAAGAAACAACTCGTAAAATCTAAACAGAAATATTATAACCTTTTTTTAGATTTTATATGATTATCACAAATCATATTGTGTCACAATAGTTTAATATTTCGTAAAAAAAAAAATTTCGAATATCGGCAGATATTTATTTGATTATAGAAATATACACATTGCCTCGTACAATTTGTACGTTTGCGGAGACTACTAATGATAGCTAATGTATGTTTGTTCCTTGTAATATTTTTTATCATTATATTTTACGAAAACATTATTACTCTACCTTAATACATAAATACAATTTTCATAAACGTAACATGACGCTAGTGTAACAATGTTAATTTCGTTAAACTCTCGAATATTGTCTAGGACCCGGTTTATACTTTTGTACATTTTTCGAACAGCATGCTTCTGCAGAATAAAGGTTCTATTAATGTAGCCTGTAGGATATTGAGTGTTGACCTGATGGACTACATTAGTGTTTGTGTCTTGACCGTTCTCGCCGGCCACTAGATAGCGCCCGGCTCGCTCTCGCGTCGCCACTCAACCATTAATCAACCATAATTGATTAACAATGCTCGTCGCCATTGGGACTTGGAAGTGAACATTTAAGACCGCTCCACATTAATAATTTTTACAGGAAATAGTGACGTCCTTGAAATTACAGTGACAGGATTGATTGATTGATTGTGTTTTGAATGCTTTTGTTTTTTCTAATTATGTTACTTAAAGCAGTACTTTACACGAAAAAATATTATTATAGGTATCGGAACATCAAAGTGCAAGGGTTAATTAAATAGACTTAACCTAATTAACTTTTTATTTATTG